CGATGTCTGTCCTGTTTCACTCATGAGGATGTTGTAAAAGTCAGAAGAAGGTTTTGTAAACTGTGAAGTGCTGTGTGTATGTAAGATACTTCTATTACTACTTTACATCTTTCAGATTCCCTTCTTCCCATACCCAGTCAACTATCTGGTTCATATAAACCTATTAACTCAGATTTCATACTTTTCACAGTGGGTCTTACTTTCTGGCTAATTAATCTCCTTGTTCTTTCCTACACCTTGAGCTTTAGTAGTTGGGTTTCTTCAAGAGCATATTTACGCCCAAGCTCATGCATCCTTGTTAATTTTTTTCTTCTTTTCTTTCTACCAAGTCTCTGTGCCCACCCACTTTTTTAAAGCTCTTTCTTTGTAGATTAAATTTTTCTTCCTTTTTTCTCCAGTTATCTTGGTCAGTAGGTTGCTGAATATATTCAAGGATCATATATGATAAGTATTTTCTCTAACACACTCCTGGGGATTTTTTGGTTTTCTTCCTTGTAATAATGCTGTGTTCATCTGCACTTTGTGTGACGTAACAGTGATCATTCATGGAGCACTTAGTGATTTATAAACATCTCATTTAATCACTACAATCCAGTGAAAAGTAGGTATTATTTTCTGCCTTCTACAGATAAGCAATCTGAAGCTCAGGGATGCCAAGTAACTTTCCCAAGGGCACAGAGCTGTTAAATGGCAGGGCTATTACTTAAATTTAGGTCCACTTGATGCCAAGGCCTGTGCCCTCTAATCATTAAACTAGCTCGCATTTTAGTTCTACTTTCCTTAACTCTCACTCCCACCCTTTCATTTACAGCCTTTCAAAGTGATATTTTATTACTCTTACTTATATTACACTAATTTTTCTTTTATGGGCATAGCTTTTATACGTTTATTTGTATATAATTTTCATCTTCCATTTGTTGTCATTTATACTTAATTTTGCAATCACTATGTTTTCTGCGGGGTTGCTACTTTCCTTCTTAGCTTGGTTTTCATTTTTTACCAGAACCCTTCCTCTGCAAAATTCTTTCAGCATTAGCAATGGGATATGGAATTTAACCTTTCCCTGCAATGATTGCCTGTATTTGCCTTCTTATTAATAAAACATGAAGACAATAAGCCTTGAAACCATTCTCATTAGTCGTGGCTCATCCTGCCTCCCCCCATGCAGAAATGAGGTCTGACTGTGCTCATGCTGCTCTCTGAAGCCATTAAGTAAACAAAAAAAGGTTCGCTTTGTTGGGGTGACGGGGACAGTTCAGCCTCTCTTCAATGCAAACCAAGCCTGGCAGGCAACCTGCTTCACCAGCTCCATCCTCACCAATAGCTTCCGAGTCCTCACGGGTTCACTTTTCTTTCTTGCTGTTTCTTATTCCTTGCCCTTTATGGCATTATTGTTTTGTTTTCTGAGTATTCAAATACATCACGAATGTAAAAAAATATCCAGAACACCCCAAGAAAGATAAAAGTAAAAAAAAAAAAAAAAAAAAAAAAACACAACACAAAAACCCCAAAACCAAATTATCCATAATACTATCTCCCAGGGAGAACCACGGCAAGCAATTTTGTATTTATCTTTCCAAATATATTTGCACCTAGACCACCATAGAATTATAATATTATTTTTACAAAACGGTGTCCACTAGGCACGCTGCTGTATAACTTTTTTACTTCAACACTATGTTGGATAGTGTTGGGTAGTGTCTGGATAGCTTTACATGTGGAAAAATGTAGGCATTCATTCATCATCTATTCTACTCAGCAAAGTATTTTCTTGCAGGAGTAAACCGCGTTTCTATGACCCGCGTCCTCCTGGGGGATCGTAGAGTCCCTCCTGTTTCTTTCCTCAGTCGTCCCCATCCTAGCCGTCCTCCGTCTGTTCCTCTCCCTGCTCCTCCTCCTCATTCTTGTTTTCTTTCTCTCCCCAGCTCCTTGCCCTCCTCCCACCCTCCTTGTCTGTCTGTCCCGTCCTCTCTCCCCCGCCCCTCCTGCCTTTCAGCCCCCTTTTCCTCTCCTGGTTACACTGTTCTGCAGAGAGCGCACTTGCTTTGTCTATTTCCATTCCTAGTACTTTTTCTTGTACTTTTCCTCTCCATATTTATTCCATTGGGAGTCTACCGAGTCTCCTCTCTACTTTTATAACTTTGGCACATGATATTTTTTCTCTCCGCATTCTGACTACGCTACACGTAGCTTTGACTTTCATTTCCACCGATAACTAAGGTGAAAGGTGTTAAGAGCCTGGCTGAAAATTACATAGTAATTTTTGTCAGAGCGAAGCCAGAACTCAGTTTTGGGTTTCAGACTTGTGGCCTTTTCACTCGATTGAGTCACCTCATCGTGGCTGAGGATAGAAGGGTTCCCACATTTAGAGTAAAAGTCAAACAAAGAAGCAAGCAAGCCACAGCAACAGTCACAAACAAAATGAAAAAAGAAAGGCAGAGAGAGGGATATTCACTAACTTAACTAGAGGAATTTGAATTTAATGTTTTCTTGGCTCAGTGATTTAGTTCCAAGTGAATTATAAAATAATGCGTTGGGAATGTTTGCCATCTTTGGTTTGTTCCAAAACTATTAAAAATGTGTAACTCTTAACCCACCCAACAGTATCATTTGGGACCTACGCTCATACAGCTAATGTGAGGTATTATCATGCCTGATATATTAATTTATTTTGCAGAATTAGGGTGTTTGTATACAGACTCTATATGTAATATCAGATAGTCAAGTAGTTCTGTAGTCTTTTCCTGAATTATTGCAAGTAAATAAGGAAATTATAAATATGTGATTAGATAAACCAAGTTGGAAGATGAAAACAAATGTTTTAATTCAAAATAGTCCTATTAAGTGCACCTTGGCAGTAAGTTTTTACAAAGCCCAGGTCACTTCCTCTGTGGCTTTTCCCATGACCACCTTTGTTTCTCCTTCAGAAGTAGTTGTGGCCTGCTCTGGGGCATTTTTTTGACCCTAGCTACCCATTTGACATGGACTAAACTATGATCGTTTATTATGTTGTGCATTTAAGATATGTCTGTGAATTAAAAAGGCCACATTTTAAGATAAGGTGGAATTCTATTTATGCAGATGAGATTTGCTTTTCTAAATAAAGGAGATTAGACATTTATTTCAACACTGCTTCAAGTGTTCAAGGAGTTTCGAGGAGAGGGGGAATTTACTTTATGAATTGCCTTCAGATTCTATAACAAGCAAAAGTTCCCCTCTCCCATAAGCTTGGGGTAGTAAAACAGTTACTAAAAAAGCCCACTTATTTCCTTTGTATCCTTGGGTAAGTTCAACAATTTTTCTGTGCTTTTATTTCCTCAGCTATAAAATAATGATAATAGTGGTGCTGACCTCATAGAATTGTTCTAAATGGATGAAGTCTCTGAAGTGCTTAGGACAGTGCCTAGCACATAATAAATACTGTATGCTTTTGCTATTACTATTTTTATTACAACTACACTGATGGTGATAATGACAATGATGATGATGATGACGATGATGACTACTAAAGTCCCCCATTCTTTCCATATTAATTTAAGAATTTATTTGCTCCAAATGACTTTCGGCTGTGTCTGCAAACAAAAATTATCCCCCAAAGATGCAGATTTGCGACTAATGAAACAGTGAAAAGATGTATTGCAAGATCTGAAAGTGTTGGTCACTGAAGTGTTTTGAGCAATCAAGTGATGGAGTAAATGTAAAAACTCTTAGATGATTGCTCTGAAGTAAGCCCTTCTCTATTGAATAGATATTGCACGTTTCAAAAAAAAATTGAGTCATATACTTTATGTCTTTTTTCTCCAATGTAAATACGCCTCTTGAAGATAAAAGCTGTGTTTTCCACTTCCGTGTATTTCCCATAGCATTCAGTACAGTGTTTTACAAATTGCAGATGTTCAATCAACATGTTGATTAACTACTTAGGTAGAGGTGAGGGGAGGAGAATTAGGAATAAAATGTTCTCCAGTTAATTGCTAACTGCTTTCCTACTTAAAAATGAATTTGCATTTAATTATCTTCTTTCTACGACTTCTGGAAAATGCTTTAGTTGGCTTCTGTCATTTGATTTTGTACAGTTTTATAAATTGTGTGGAAATCTATATTCCTACAAAGGGTCTGTGGTGGAATTTCTATTTTTATTTTTGTTTCAAAATGGAAAGAAGTGTTAGTGTAAAGGCAAGCCTGCTTAAATCACACTTTATGAAATTTGCCAAGAAAATCATTAAAATTTAGAGCTGGTAAGAACCACTTGTTACAGCCTAAACACACAGCACAGTACCTGGGGCACAGTGGAAACTCAGTAAGTCGTTGGAAAATAAATGAGTCGCTTAGTACATTCCCTTCATTCACAGTTAAGAAAATCATTAAAATTTAGAGCTGGTAAGAACCACTTGTTACAGCCTAAACACACAGCACAGTACCTGGGGCACAGGGGAAACTCAGTAAGTCGTTGGAAAATAAATGAGTCGCTTAGTACATTCCCTTCATTCACAGTTGGAGAAACTGATAACTTGCTCACAGTCACAAACTGGCATAAGAAGGAAGAGAGTAAATATTCCTTGATGCCATCATGCTTTCGTTGTGGGTTTCACATTTAAATCGTAACACAAAAAAGACTTTAAATTTAGTCTTTGAATAACTTTCTTTATTTTAAACTGGGTGTTTAAATCAAATTCTTAGGTTAATATCTGTTACACTTTAGGGAGGCAGTAGTAAGAATTCGTTCATACAAGTCAAAAGGATTGTTTTAAGAGGAAGCTAAAGTAAAATGTCTGTTAAGTGGCTTGTTCAAGGTGTGTCAATTGGTTAATTTCCTTTCTCCTTACCATAAGTTTTCTTTTTTCTGTTATATATTATTAGGGTTTCATATCCACTACGAAAGACTTCCGGTTGGAACAATTTGTCTCTCTCAAGACATAACCATCTCCTACTTCTCTGTGTCTCTTAGATTTTCAAGAGATGTTGGTTATCATGTTGATTGATTTTCTGCTATTTTACAGGATGGAAAAAGGGACTCAAGTTCATGTACCTGTTTGAAGGGGCCCAAACTGTCAGAAATAGGGACAATTGCCTGGATGATAACTGTCAGCGATGCCCTCCACAATTTCATCGATGGCCTAGCGATTGGGGCTTCCTGCACCTTGTCTCTTCTTCAGGGACTCAGTACTTCTGTAGCAATCCTGTGTGAGGAGTTTCCTCATGAGTTAGGTAAGGGGTTTTGCTCAAAATATTAAAATTAGCTTACTTCTTGATTTCAGAGGAATGAGACATTTGAGGTGACACCCTCTTAAAATCCTGCTGATATACTAACATGAAGAAGCCATTGTTGGAAATTGATGATTATCTTTGATCTTATCCAAAAATAGTTAAAAACTATTCACTTGATATTTTCTTCTTTTTGCAGGAGACTTTGTGATCCTACTTAATGCAGGGATGAGCACTCAACAAGCCTTGCTATTCAACTTCCTTTCTGCGTGTTCCTGCTATGTTGGGCTAGCTTTTGGCATTTTGGTGGGCAACAGTTTTGCTCCAAATATTATATTTGCACTTGCTGGAGGCATGTTTCTCTATATTTCTCTGGCAGATATGGTAAGAAAGTTTAAAATTTAATTTTGTTTTAATTTACAATTTAGAAATGTGCATCTGAGTTATGAGTTGACTATGGGTGACCTTCCTCTTTCCATAGTGGGGAAAACGTTTCTGTTGTAATTTAAAACTATCCCATTTCAACAGATGACTCTTCTTGATTATATTGCACTCATCATAATTTGAAAGTCATTCTCATTGATTCTTTAATCTGCGATCTTATTGTTGGAGGGTGAAATGACTTGTTCCTGCTGAAGTAGAGATGTCTTCCTAGGTCTCCTTTTGCCTTGAGGTGGTAACCCTTATCTACTGTTATAGTGAGTCCCCATAGGATTTTTCTCCCTCTTTTGTGAGGATGTCACATTTGGAAGAAGAATAACTTGTTAAAGTGAATAGCATTTTGTTACTTCAACGTTCTAACAGTGACAGCCTTTTGGACTAAACTAAAACTGGTATACTACACTTGGTGAGATTAAAATTTGACAATAATTTGGGTCAGTTTGTATTTATATCTATATTTATGACTATGCTGGGTTTATGTCTTTGTAACTGTGTGTGTGTAAGACAGAAAATATCCCATGCGTTTTCAAATGAATCATAGAAAAGTTTCTAGAAGATGAGAATGTGCTAGTATATGAATTGAGGAATATTTCTTTTACATTTGGAACTGAATGTATTACAGTTGCATATGTTGCATAACGACGTTTTGGTCAACAACAGACTGCATTTATATTTTTCATCACTGAATTAATGTCCCACACTAACTTTATTCTAGGTGGTCACTTTTTTCTCTGATATTAGAACAGAAGATATTAGAGTTATTCAGTCTAAAAAAATAATACTAATAAATGGTGCTGTATTTGCTTACAGCAGTTTCGCTTTTTTCATAATGGTTTCACAGCTTTCTCCCATTTTATTCTAGCAACAGTTTTTCTATGATAAGCACATGGATTGACTGTGGATTCTGGCGACCTCGGGTGTTTGGTACAATACACCACAGCATATGTAGCAATCATTTTGGAATATGTTTTGAAAAGCTGGCATTTACAGATCTCCTCATGTAGCCTTTTTAGCAGAAGTTGTCTGCTGAGAAAGAGTAGATTTTAAATAAAATATTTCAAGTTTTAATTGCTTTCTCTGTAATGAAATTGTTATAGTCTTCGATCCTAGAATAGTGCACAATTCATTTAAAAACCTTATGATTTTTGTGAGGATAGAGCAAGCAGAGGAAACAAATCAAAGAAATCAGGAATTGAATATATAGTTATTTCCAAAAGTGTATTTAATCAGCTACTATTGATATATTTTCTTAACCAGGTCTGGAAGTCTGTAAGGCACTGGGGACCCTGGAGTGAACAAAATAGGCACAGTCCCTGTATTCATAGGGTTTCCATCTAGAAAGAGGGGAAGAAGAAATTAAACCACCAAAAAATCACACAGACGACTAAATAAAAATGCTGTGAAATAAAAGGAAAAGCAGTATGCATGATGAGAGATGATAACGGAGGATCTATTATAAATTAGGAATGGTTAAGGGAAGTGTTTCAGGAAAGTATGATTAAAGATGGAACCTGGAGGATTTAGCCCATTGAAAAATTGGAGGGAGAGGAGTTCAGGTAGAGGTTATGGCACGTGTGAAGTCTTTTTGTTTTGTTCTGTTTTGTTTTCTTTTTGGGTGGCTGGTCAGTATGAGGACCCAAACCTGTGATCTTGGTGTTAGGTGTGAAGATTTTGAGGAAGGAAAGGAAGGAAAGAATGTTGTGGATAGAGCACAGAGAGCAAAGAATTAGAGAGAGAGAGAGAGAGTGAGAGAGAGTGAGAGAGAGAGAGAGAGATTCCTATTATGTTATCTATCCTAAAACATTTAAACATCTGAAATAAATGATCATACTCCCCCCTACCGAAATCTATAAATGACTGTTTTATGTTTTACCACAAGATGGCAACAGTCATCTAACAATATATCTTTCTTTCTAGTTTCCAGAGATGAATGATATGTTGAGAGAAAAGGTAACTGGAAGAAAAACCGATTTCACCTTCTTCATGATTCAGAACGCTGGAATGCTAACCGGGTTCACAGCCATTCTGCTCATTACCTTGTATGCAGGAGAAATTGAATTGGAGTGACAGGAAGTGGAAGATGGTGCTGTTAATGAAGGCATTTAATAAATAAAAACATCTCCAAAGGGATTTTAAAGCCAATCTTATTTAGTTAAAAGATAATTTTGTTTTCAACTGTAGGTCAGGAAAACTAATTATTGATTTCAGATTTGTGAAATAGGCCATTATTTGTTGTTAAAAATATTTTTGGTTTCAGTCTGAAATGCCTGGTATAGGGTGTCTTTGGTGTGAATACCCATTTTTCAATGTTTAATGCATATTAGAAAATCATCACAAAGCAAAAGGTATGCATTTTATAATCATGCAGACAGGTAGATCCAGACAAAAATAAAAGGTTGTGTAAGCTTTTAAAACTCTGTGGTAGGATCATACGTTCAAGTGGTTTCAGAATGGTTTTCTTTCAATTTGTTCTAGCACTTTCAAGAGCAAGTACATCAAAATGTGAAAGAGAATCAAAATGTATACAACACCAATATAAATGATTCCAAAGCCTTAATGAACCCAAGAAAGAAAGATTGCTCACAACTTTTATTCTGTTTTATATTTCAATTAGGAACTTATAAGATTGTTTTGAAAATTATCCTAAAATAATATGAATTAGGATATAAATAAAGTTTTGCTGATCCTTCTTCATTCAGGCTTAGAGGTTTATCTTTAAGTGTAAACTCTACCAGATTTATAAAAAGCCAGACTTGCTTCTTTGTGACTTATGTTGTGGTTGCATCCCTTACAAATGGCAGAACACTATGTAAAGCAAGTGATAGCTCAGTTTCAGCATACCATGTGTTTGCTTTGTGAATGTCAGAATATGTTGGTTTAGAGAAACAAATTGAATGTAATTTTAAGCAATTTACTTTTCAAGATACATAATTACTTAGCAGAGAATATCTTAATAGATGAAAAACAATAGCTGGACTGCCGTACTTGTATGTCAAGGACTGATTAATTGGAAAGTGTATGTTCTTGTGGGTGATTTAGAGTCATTCAGAAAAAACTTATTTTGTGTTTAGTCTACATTTTTCTATATAATATACCTTGGGAAAAAAAAATTCAGCACACCGTGGTTATTTTTCTACCTTTTTTAGAAGATAGAGCCTATTTACTCATTTGAGAGACATAGAAAATTGGTCTAAAATTGAACATCATAAGCCCAATCCACACTCCCAAGTCATTTAAGGAAGGATGTTTTGACAGTGAGGAAAATTATTGGTAAAAGTCAACAATAATGGTATACCTTGGGAAAAAAAAATTCAGCACACCGTGGTTATTTTTCTACCTTTTTTAGAAGATAGAGCCTATTTACTCATTTGAGAGGCATAGAAAATTGGTCTAAAATTGAACATCATAACCCCAATCCACACTCCTAAGTCATTTAAGGAAGGATGTTTTGACAGTGAGGAAAATTATTGGTAAAAGTCAACAATAATCTCAGGAATTACATTTTCCTACAGACCATAAAATGTTTTCACATAGCAGCCATGCAGATTTAATTAATATTTAACATGTATGTTAATGTGTATTTCACTTTATGACTGACAATTAAAAAAATTGTTTCACCAAATAGTAAACAACTTTGAAACCATGTATTGTGTCATTCATTACTCATTTAATATGTATCTTTTTTGAGTGACTACCATAGCGGGTTTGGGGAGAGAGAGAAATAGGAAATTGGTGATGTTTATCTCAAAGATATTTAGCCAATAAATACTGCCAAGATTTATCATTGTTCATTAAAATCAGTAAACACAGAATCTATTTTTATCATTTTATCTTTTTATATTCAATCTTAAGAAATAATCTTTGGTTTTTTAAAGCACAGGTTGTGTATCTGCTTTAAGAAGCTATTTGTAACATTATATTAAAACAAGGTAGTTTAATGACCTCTGATTTGGTCATTGTTTATGTGATTACCTGGCATTTCTTGTTACTCTCTCCCTGTGTTTACCTTTTGACCATTTTTCTCAACTATATGAACAAAGGCAATAGGGCATGAGGACCCAAAAGGCAAAAGAAAATTGCCTCTTATTGGAGTTTGTGGTTGAAGGTAGAAGGTAGGATATGGAAAGTCGTGATTAAATTTAAATTATAGATAACTTTATTCAAAAAAGCATAAAGCTGTGAGTCAACATATCTTATACTGAGGCACTCATTGTACCAGTTGAATATTCTGTAATCTTTAGACTTTAAATATGCTACCCTGACAAACAAAAATGATTTCAATGCATTATGTAATGGGTTTTGTACTTTTATTTTTGCCTTGTTAAAATTTAAGAAATGCTACTAATAGCTGGCATTTATCAAGTACTGTCTCAGACTCCTATTACCATAATAATGTGGAGTAACAAACTGCCTAAAGAATCCAAGGCTCCCCACAACAGCATATTGTTCTCATGCTCACAAGTCTGCTGATTGAATCTCAGCTGGTCTAGCCAGGGTTCTGCTGGCTGGCTTGTCTCCAGGCTGTGATTTGGCTAGGCTTGGCTACTGCAGTGGTTGATGCTGCAAAATCATGGGGCAAAGGGCATAGGTGTATAATTCTAATACAGGGAGAGAATAAAGAAGTACAAACTGATTCGATTTGCCTTAGGTAATCTCTATAGACTATGATTTCATTTTACCTCGTAGAAAACAGCTCATACCAATAATAATTCATCAAAAGCTTCCAGACTACCTCCTTTTTCTAGCCCTAATTTTTTTCCTGATTCCTTTCAATGAGAATATTATTTTCTTCCCTCTACCAGTACAAGTTACTATGTGTGATGTAATGCTGTTTACCCTAAGTCAGGATAGTTTATGTTTGTTCGGTTTGTAAATCTAACCCTGACATAGTTTATTTCTATAGCAGTTGCTTAGCATAGCCAGCATGAGAGCCCAGTATTATAACAGTCCCTGAATAGTATTGTTATAATAATCTCTAGATGCTTAGTAAGGCCCTCCTGAATTTCAATTTACCACATCTAAAAGGATTTCGTTAACTAGGAGATTACATTTTTTAAAGTGAACTGAGAAGAACCAAAACAACATCATGAGTTTACCAGATAATTAGCGTAGGTGTATCAATAGCTCTAATTACTGATGGCCTGTGCCTGGGGAGTGTTAACAGTAAGTCTGTCCTACATGCTCTGGTTGGTATCCTCTTTATGTCTCACTTTGGTTTTTATCAGGAGACTACTGTGATTTCCAGACTCCTGTGTTTATTTAAGGTCCATCACAGTACAAGAGGTTCTTAACTCTATATTAGTCAAATTCTCTAACACTGATGTTTCTGCAGCTGCTTTCTCACTGATACTTCACCTTCCACACAGCTGTGGTTGCAATACCTGTGTTAGATGGCTTTTCCCTTAGCTTCCTTTCTGTGCTGGGTATGCACAAAGCATTATCTCATGGCCATAAGTTGGAGGCCTCCAACTTAGGCATGGTCCCAGAATCAGTGACTACTAGTAAATTTCAGGTAAGCTAAGGCAGCTGGATAAACTGAAAACTCCAAATATCTGTTTTATTAATTCTAAGACATGCATTTACCCCCAAGTCTCAACATTTCCAAATGTCATGCTGCAATCACTGACAACCAGGTGGCACTGTGGAAGTAGTTACACTTGTGTGAAAATGAAAATCATCTGTCAAAACCTAGTAAGGCTAAGAAAATGCCATTATCACTGTTTAGGATTTGAGGGTGTATAACAGGCACTCAAACATACAAGGTTTACTTTCCTTCCTGTAAAAGAAGTGTGGCAGCAGCACTGCAGGGCTGGCATGTCAGTTCCATGTTCATTCACTGAGAACCCAGACTCCTTCAATCTGTCTGCTCTGTCATCTTTAATTTAGCTTGTGACTCCCACATTTAAGATTGCTTCATGTTCTAAGATGGTTGTGAGAAATCCAGCATTAAAGTCTAAATTCTACAGAGCAGGAAGGAAGAATGGGTAGAAAGGCAAAAAGTTCATACCAAGGTCTTCTTCCTCTTTAGGACCTTTTTCACAATTAATATTCAACAATCACTGCTTATAGTCACTGACCAGAATTAGACGCATAGCCACACCAACCTGAAAAAGAAACTGGGAAACATTGCTTTTAGCTGGAAACACTACCACCAATGAAATTAGGGTTCTGTTACTAAGAAACAGCAAAGAATAGATACTGGGTAATTAGCCATCTCAGGTATAGATAGGTTTGCATCAGTTTCACTTGGGAAACTTATTACTCTAGATGGTTCTGATGCGGCCAGTTCAGGGAACTGCTTCTTCTCGGGATGCTCATGACTTCTTTCAGCTCAATTCCTTGTTTTCTTGACTATTTTAATTACACTGGTCCATCTGATCAGTCTTACCTTATAACCAGTATTATTCTTACACACTTGTGCTTGTCTTTACAGTTTCTCTGTCTCAGTCTGTTGTGAGTACTATTTATTTACCTTCCAGAAATCCTGTGTTTTTTCACAGGATGGTCTAAATTCTATGGAAACCAAAGCGAAACTCTTTTTCTGTGGACTTTGATCTCTCTGTTTAAAACTCTTCTGATTACTGGATTCATATCCGGAACTATGAAACTAAGTGCTGTTGGCAGAGATTAGCAAAAATAAATTTAAAAAATCATTTACTTCTTTTTTCCTTTCTCTTTATATGGGTTATCACAGCTATTTAGCATAAGCAAAGTTGGATCTGAAATGTTATCTGATTTTTATCAATAATTAAATAGGCTACTGTTAACATCAAATCTCAACTGCAGTTACTTTGGATGTATATATATAGTCAAAGTACCAAAGAACAATTTCGGTGGGTTGGACTTTCATGTTTTGAAGTTTATATAATGGCTTAATTCCTAATGCAGTGATTGTGTATGTTATCCTCACAATTGTATAGACCAGTTTGTGGTAAAAGCTCGGTGAAGCATAATTTATGGCCATGCTTGTGATCAGGCCATGTTTGATCAGGGGTCATGGGAAAGAAAAATAAAGATTGAAAGTTATGAATCACAGGGGAAAATCTGTTAGGAAGAATTCAAATTAGGAATGCTTCTCTCTCTCAAAAAGCTGGGGAAGTTTGTACAACTTGTCTCATATTTTGTGGCAATGCCACCAGCAGGCCCCACACAACACTTGGTGGGGCCTGTTGTATTCATGACAGACACAATAGACTGGGGTCTGACTTCCTTCCTTCCGGGAAATAGAGAGGCTCAGAGGAGGGCTGGCAAATGGTGGTAGAGGTGAAGTAAGGAGAGCTGCTGCTGCATTTGGCTTGACCTGCTATCGTAGAGTTTGTTGGGACAAAGGGTAGGCAAATATTCCCTTGGCCTGGTGTGAGCTCATTCGGGGATGAGAGATCTGGCTTGGAGCAACTTGAAATCATGTGTAATAGGAGTAACATCCTGAAGACAGAGAAGGTCAGTATTGAGTGGACTTCAGAAAATTAAGGACTAAGTCACATGAGCAACTAGAGAACTAGAATACTTCACTGAAGAATCCTAAAAGTGCCAATAAGCAAAAGGTTATCTTCAAGTACCTGTGAGACAGCACGAGGACATATTTTGACAGTATCTGTCAACTAAAAACTTGTCTATCCTCTCTTTCTCTCTCTCTCTTTTTTTTTTTTTGCTATTCATATGCTAGTTTATCTTATTACTCAGAGGTAATTGCATGATGTCAGTTGTCAATAACCAATTACAATAACAGGAAATCCAAAGAACAAAATTTTGCAAAGACCATGTTTTTGCACTTAGTTAAAAATAATTTTCCTTTTTTATCTTCTCCATCTAAGCACTTAACCCTGGAGGGGCCAGAAGCTGTGGTTAACAAATAGGGGGAATAAAGGAGATAAAAGAGAAGAATTCCTTCTCAGAAGTCTTACCATTGAATAAAGATTGAAGTACTGTTTGATGTATTGGACTGGACACTTTGTGACTTAAAGTGATTGTAGAATTTTACATTCCCCAGAAGTGCTGATTACACATGCACTTTAAAAATGAATACTTATAAGAACCCTGTGAACAGAGTCCTATTTTTAATACCAGGCCAGTCTGGAGCTGAGAAATTGCAGAGCCACATGCCCTGGGTGTGCAGCTGGGGCAGAGCATGGCCAAAGCCCTCACACCCACACTGCTGAACCCATGCAGCCGCTGAAAAGGGCAGGAGAGCCCCTTCCTCCTGCAATATCCCTCCAGTGCCCTTTACTGACAAAGCTCAACATGGTGCTTGCTGTCAAGGATGGATGTTT